GGGGAGTAGAGTGAGAAACTGAGAAAGCTTCAACTCTTAAGCACTGTTCAGCAACAGCTAAAACATCAGTCTGTTATCAATGCTGTTTTGGTCCCAAATTCAAAACATAAACTGTAGGGGCTGCTATGAGGAAAATTAACTGCATCCTAGCAGTTCATGCTACAAAAATAATATATGTGAAAACATGCAAAGACCATACCTTCATTTCAATAACTGTTTGAAGAGCCTTCGTCTTTGCTGGCTCAGGCTGAAGTTGGGTTCTTCTGTGTAATTCCTGCGGAGGGACACGATAGAAATAAGCCTGACGACTCATCTTTCCATTATTTTAATCACTCATATGAATTTATTACAACAAAATAAAAGCCTGATGATTAGAAGACTGTAACTCCAAATGCTACAGGTGCTTCCCTCTCTGTAATCCCTCTAACATCACTGCAGTGCCTATCTTATATTACAGTCAACTCTAACGGCACATGCGCTATTTCTGAAACCCCTATCAATAGTTAATGTCAATGGTGACAAAGCCAGCAAGTACTTTCTTAGTCCAAATACAATGCTGCTGTTTCTGCCTAAATATCAAAACTTAATTAATTCAGTTGTGTTACTAATTCAAACAGTGTTAAGTCATTTAAAATCTTTTAATGTAGTTTCTTCCTAGTTTTTCCTCTAATATCTAAAATAAGCAATTTAAAGACATATTTAAATTTGACATTTTAAGGATAATAATTATATAGTGGGTTGATGCAGCACTCTCCACAGTAGCAATTACATTTCAGTTTTCACATTTTCATACTATTTTTTATGCATCTTAATCCACAGGTAAAAGAAAAATAGATTGTGTTAGTTAAGACATACAGTTAACAGAATTAATGTCTACTGGTCTTTATAAAAAAAAGACTATGAAGACAGCAGCACTCGATTTCTTATAAAATACTGGAGTTGTATTTTGGTATGAGACATCTCAATAAAAAATTCACATATCTACAGAGAACAATGTAAAGCTGTAATGAAACACCATTAATTTAAGAATTTGGTGATGTTTTTACCCCTTACGCAAACCATCTAAGTAGTTTATTAGAAAACAAAACTGAAACAGGACAGATATAGTCCTGTTTCTAGTCCTTCAGAGTCCTTCCTCTCTAAAGGACACGACTGCCATGGTTATGTCTTTCCTTGTTCTTTCTACCCCAGTGCTCCACATACACACTTGAACTAACTTCATAACCATGAAAAATACATTTATGCTTGATAGGCTGGGAAGCTAGGTTCATTCACCACAAAGATATTAGTTGACTCCAGAACCTGAACTATTTTGTCTTCCAAATTACGCCTCTCCCAGCTCATCCTCATAAATTCAGGGAGGAGGGAATCATCAAAAAACCCGTAACATTATTAGTCGTAATTATCTTTATTCCCATCTCTCAAATCCCCTTTCCTTGAGTGAAGTGAACAATGTACAACCTGACAATCAATTGATAGACTAACAATCAAAAATACAATCAACTATGGATTGTGCACATTTATTATCCTGCCCCCCCTTAGCCTATCCTAGTGCATTTCTGGGTCTAGCCTACCTTATAACCCACAATCTTAAAAGTCTTTTTTTTTTTTTTATCACAAACTATCAATCAGTTTCTCGTTCTGTTTAGCAACAAGCATATCGCTTATCGATGACATTGAGAAACAACCACTCTTTAAAGACTAAGTAGTAGGAGTGATTTGCGGCATGTTGTTAAATTAAAATCTACTGATAATAAAAATCTTTATAAAATACATTAAAAAAATTGTGTGGCCTAATATATTAAAATAACTGAAAGAAACAAGTTAGTTGTGTGTGCTCCATTTAACTGAACATAGATTACTTAACTTGAAACGTAGTATGTGACAGGACATAGTATCAAGACACGCATCCCAGAATTGTCAGGTTGGCATGCATTTTTGGTTAAAATAAAATAAGCTGTTCATAGGTACCAGAAAATTTTATGTATACAGAAATACATCAATACTTATGATCTGTAGGACTACAGTTAAGTAGCCAAGTTATGGTCAAATGGCTGGTAAATTCAGACCATTTAGATCACATCAGTTTGGTATCATTTTTCAGACTCCTCTTGTTTGTTCGTGATCCTAGCCCACAAACATCTAGGCCCACGGGCAGTTTTTCATTCCCTATTTGTACCAAAGCTAACAACAACACCTCAATAACTGAAGCTCTTAGCAACCCTGGCACTATAAAGAAGAAAGAGTTGGATATGCTCTGTCTTGCCTATTTTACCCACTCTGCTGTTTCCATAGAAAGGATGCACAAAAACATAACAGTTTATCTAAACTGTTAAATTAGATTCTGACCTGGAAGAGCCTATTGATAACTTGATAAACCACAGCACTGCCTGCAAGAGTCCAATTAGGTGCAAGTGTTTGAATGCATACCTAAAGTAGGTCTGCATGGTTTTTTATTACATTAAATATGTTGCAGATATATGTATGTATATTTAAACTACCTCTAACATATGACAACAGTGAACTTCTAATTTTGCACTGGGCATTTATGAAAAAGTATATCTGAATGGTCCTTTTTCCTTTTTTTTTTTTTTTTGGTTGCTTTTTTTTAAATGTACAACTAAGTCCCCACATTATAAAAAGAAAGAAATCTTTACAAATCACCTATACAGAGAATCCCTCGATCAACACCAGCTGTTTGTCTGAGATGAAACAAGTACCTTCACTACAGAAATGTTTTGGAAAATAAGAGGATGTCATAGATTTGTCATACAGTTCTACAAAAGTCACGGAAAAATAGTTGGCCAGTTATACCGCTATCTGATCAGCAAAAATTACAGCTAATTCTAAGACCAGACTTTGCTCCCCAAGGCCACATAAACTGAGTTGGAATATAAACAGGATTCCACACATTACCCAGGGAGACAAACCAGAGTTTCCACACCCTTAGCCAAAGATTAATAGACTGCCAAAGATGAGTATTCCTAGATGTCTATCATAGTATGAAGCCTTGCCTCATAATACTTTTCCTGTTTGCTTTATGAATCAATCTGTTGCTGGCTGACTTAAAAGCTTTTCTTCTCTATCCCTGACGGTAAAATGAAGCAGACTTTAGGATTCTGGAGAAGATCAGAAAATGACTCCCACTTTATTATTTTGTGTGGGTTTTCTTCCAATCAGATTCAAATATTTGGAGACTCCCACAAGGCTCAGTTCTTGAATTTATGTTGTTCTATATACGCATTTTTTCTTTTGGGGTACTTGATTCAGGGATATTCTTTTGGGGTACTGCTTCAAGGATACTACCACTTTATGTGCATGATACCTTATACTGATTGTTTTAGTATCTGAGGTCATCTAAGAGGGTTTCAGATTTGCCTGAACAGCAAGAGATATTCTGAACATTTCAGGAAGCCCTTATAGCCTAAAGAAACCAGATTTTTATCCATTACATCATTTTTGGAACAACACTGCTTTGTCTTTTTAATTTCTTTTAATAAGAAACCTAAGGAGTCTAATAAAAAAACTTTAAAAAAAAAAAACCCAAAAAACAAAAAAACCCCAATACATCAGGGATAGTTTCTTTTAACCTGAACTGTATTGAATAGAACTCTTGATACTTATATCCATGATAAAATACTTGTGCCATAATCTCTGCAATCATCAAGGTCTATACTAATAATCCCTCAGAGATGTACTCATTTACGAAATTACACTTTCATTATATCCCCTACATAACATCTGTATCACTGCAATTGGCAGTAGTTCTGAGTAATCACTTTGTGATTGGATTTCATGATGATGCTTAGTTGTTCAAGGTGATTAACACACCCACACAAAATTGCCACATAATCAAATCTTTTTCTTCAGATTAAGGTTACTCTAATCTTTACTTTTAGACCAAAAAGAGTCTTAAACCAAAGATGGCCATTTCATTCTCCTTCCACATGTTTCTGGGATATTAGATTAACATCTTATGTTGGCCTCAAAAGTAACTTGAGCACACAGTTTTACCACTAATTTAAACAAACATCAAAAAATCCCAAGAAGAGATAGTTTATATCATAGATACTTCCTAAAATAATGGTGGAAGATGAGTCCTGTTCTTTTGTTCAGAAATTGATAGCAAGAGTTTGCAAGATTTTATTATTGACTGGCATTCAAAATCCACACTACATAGCATAGTCTGAGCCTAATACTGATTAAAAACTGAAAACTGCCTTTTTACTCCAGCTTTATTGTAAGATGCTTCATCACTTGGCTGCAGGAAAGCCAAGGTGCTGCAAACTGATCCTCCCTTTATTCTGTTTCTGATGTATTTTATTAAGGTTCCTAAGACAACAGTGACCATGGGTTGTTCTGATTAGATGAGATAGATTGAGCTGAAACTCTTCAATAAAAGGCTACACCAATGCTTTTAATGCAGTTCAAGATTTTACCTTCTATTGACATAAAATTGCCTAAAATAGCATGACAAAGTTCTAGAAAGAAAAGGACTTCAGAAAAATGGGCAGTTTAGAGATGGTATCATGAAACTGTCAGTGAATGCCTGCATTTCAGCTGGTAAGCTTCTACTGATTAAAGAACAGAAGAAAAATGGAATCATAAGCCAAAAGATTTTAAAAAAGTAACACGAAATTCAAGATTTATAAAAAATAAAGACATAATATGAACAAAAGACATCAGAATCAAATAACCATTGGAAGAAGACAGATGATTAAAGATGGCAGCAACTATACCTAAGGCAATGTAAAAAAAGACATGAGAAACAATTGTGTCAGTAAATATAGCTTCTTGTATTCCTAGGCAAAACGTACGCATCTGTAAATCACAGCAGGCAATAGTGTAGGAGCTGCTAGTTCTCTCAGACACCTCAAAGCAGACTGCTTCCATTCTCCTGGAAAAGAAAGCCTTGGTATTGCTTCTACATGATCAGCTTGTCTGAACTTTAAAATCTAAATCAGCAGTATATTAATATTTTGATCAATTAATTTAAGTAAAAGCATAGCCACTTACCTGAAGTGTCTAAACAGTAGTGTTTCTTCAACCAAAAATACCATTAGAAAGGCTGATCAAATTCTATTTAACCAGAATACTACAAAAATGTAACATATCGGAATTAATTTATTCTTAACAGATAAGCTTATCTTCTCTTTCCTGTTTTCTAAATCTTCGCATCTACCCTCAGCCAAAATGGTCTCATAGTAATTTAGATGAAAGTACGTTTAAGAAATCCTGATCAAACTCTTTATCTTTCTGGAAACCATAAACTGA